CAACCAGTATAACCGCACGAGGTGTCAACAACACATTGGACCGTGATAGGAGGAGGAGTAACCATATGGCAACATCGGACAGCCTGACGTTACATGATAAGCATATTCAGCCTATAACGGGCGGCAGGAAGCAAAGCAACGGGAGTCAGGCAGACATCGGCTAACGCAGCTGAATCGCGGTTGATAACAGCCAATCACATGCGGGCAGTGAATTGACGGACCTATTACGTGCTCGATGACCAAATTACCAACATTTAAAGGGCTATAAAAAGCAATGTTTTTCCAATGTCAGCTTATACTTTGATAATGTTAGCAGTGTCTAACGAAAGCTTAGTACACAATAACATTTTCTGTCCCGGAGATCAGTATGTCTTTTTTTACAAATACACACACACACACACACACACACACACATATATATATTCAAAGTTTTGTGGCTGACAAAGAGTTAGTGGGAGACTAGTACAACTATTTCAAGCTCTTTAGCTCTCATCAGCTAGTCATACCCCTCTGGGATTCGAACCTGGGCAGCTTGCATGTTAGGCAGTTGTAAAACATGCTCCTAGATTGGAGTGAAACGCAGAACAGACTGATTTATCCTATACTTGGTAGACCGGGTGCTCCAGACAACACACACACACACACACACACACACACACACACATCCATACATATACCTACACCCATGCATATATATTAATCCCAGTCCATTTTGAATACATAGCAGAAAGAGGAAGATTGACAGCTCACAAGGCTGACGCTATATGGAACAAAACCGTGACTGAATCTGGATGTTCTGCTTCGGATGCCGCGCAGCCTCCTCCCAGCGGAGGTTCACTTAACAACTGTGGCAAGAAAGGTGGTGAAATGGGGCAAAACTCACCTCACGACTGCCTCGCTTAGCGACAGAAACGTTGGCTTCAATTGTGGCCGTAAGTCACGGACTACCTGAAGGCACCCAGTCGGGAAGGTTTCCTGGATCCAGAAGAAATTCAGATCAAACGTCTCGCTCCCGACAGAGGGAGCCCGGAGCTTCCGCCACTGTGGGACAAAGTAAAATAGTTTAATGTGAAACCAAAAATCTCTCGGGGAGTCTGTGCAGTTTGCTTGGCAAGGAATCGCCCCAGACTTTTTTTCCCCCAAGAATGTTGGGTTTTTTTCCCTGCCCAATTTGGTTTACCACCCTAGGATTTCCTGGTGGCCTCCTGTCCCTCCACAGTCTAATTCATTTAGGGAACTCTCCAAAGGGTTGGGGGAGAGGGGAGCTAAGTGTCCCTGAGCAGAGTATGCTTTAAGTATAAGTTGGGGGCTTAGTGCAAGGGGCAGCTGGATCACACAAGGAGGGGTGCCAAGAAGCAAACAAGCAAAACAACTGGGGTTACACCACTGCTCCCCCCCAAAGCACCAACGCAACCTTTTGAGTCCCCGAGTCCCACCACCCGGGGACTCTAATAAACCCGGGACTGAATACGAAGCCTCCTCCTTTCTCGGGTCGCCCCCAAACCCAACCCGGTCGCTTCAGCACGTCTGAACGAGGTCAACGAGCCGCTTCCCCGTTCCTTGACCGGGGGGGGGGAGGGCAGAAGGCCCTGCAAACTCGTCCGCGGGTTGCAACCCCGTAACGTGAGAACGAGACCCCCCTTCCCTCCCTCCCTCCTCCCTCCAAGACCCCCGGGAGAAGGAAACGCACCCCAGATCGCAAGGCAGCGAGTGCACCCCTGAAATCGGCGGCAGGAAGGATCAGCGCGGGGTTTTTTTTGGGGGGGGAAGGGGGGTGTCCTTCCCCTGCTGGAAGCTGCAGCCGCTGGATAGAGAAAGGGGGGGGGGGGGGAAGCTACCCGCCCACTGTCCCCCACCCCGC